TCTCTTGCCCATTAACAGTTTATTTTCTCTGCGAGGACTTAGTCACGCTCTGCCTCCCTCTCACCGCGAACTGGGTCTCCGGCGTTGTCGTTAAAATCTGTGCGTGTTAGTTGAGAGCACGAACCTTTGGATTCTCACAGTCTTTTAAAAATATATATTGATGTTTGATGTTTGAGGTTTCACCTTCAGAGTCTGTTACTCTTCCCAAAAGTACGGCACGACCAGGGAAGGTGGCCGGAGAGGGGGAGGGCGGGGCGCGAGGCCCGGCGGGGCGCGAGGCCGGCGGCACCGGAGGGCGGCAGGGCCAGCGGCCCAGCTTTCGTCTCGTTTTTAAAACCGGTTTCATTGTGTCACTGAGCCCACAGCAACGCCGTGAGAGGCGCTGAGGAAGTGAACAAGGCAGGCTCCCTCAGCCCCTCGTGTGCGTGGTGTGGATGGTAACAGTGGACACCCACATGATATTCATGGACTTCATGCGTTAACTCACACAGTCCTCCCAACCGCTCTGCGCGGTCATTCTTAGAGTTTTATCATTTTGTAGATCCAAAACAGAGTCTCCATGAAATGAAGACATTTCATAGAATCACACAGCTCCAAGGCCGTGGGCAGGAATCCCAGCCTCTGTACCTGGCCCCGCGGTCAGGCTGATACGTTCAGGCTTAAATTGCCTTCTCTCTAGAATGCATGTTTTTTTTTACTCTCATCCGAGAACATTTTTTCTTCTTTTGGCAGTTATCTTCAGATAGAGTGGGAGGGACAGAGGAAGGAAGAGAGAGAGAGAGAGAAACATCAATGTGCGAGAGACACATCAAGTGGTTGCTACCATCACGACCCCAACTGGGGCCGGGGACAAACTGCAACCGAGGTACGTGCCCTTAGTGAGAACCGAACCCGGGACTCTCCGGTCCGCAGGCCGATGCTCCAACCACTGAGCCAAACTGGCCAGGGCTAGAATGCATGTTAATAGTATCTGCAAGATGTGTGATGTGTATGTGAATATGAATTTCTTCTGGAGTATCTGTACAGAATGAACAACTGGATTCATATTATTTACCTTGAAACAACCTCCTAGGATCCTTGGGCTGATATTTCAGGTACCTGTCCTGGGTGCGAATATGGTCAGGACACAGAGTAAGTCAACTGTGACAGTTCTTTCAACCTTTACCAATTCAGATACAATTATCTTTATTTTCATAAAAGGCATCGTACATAACAAATACTTTTTGGGGAGAAAGATGGACATATGGATGGATAAATGAGACCTAAGTAAGGGTCCTGATTCAGTCATTGTCTATTAATACTTACATATTAATATATAATACTATTGCTAATGGTAGCATTTTTTAAAGTACAGGCATACAGCATTGTGGTTAGACAATCATATACTATACAAAGTGTTCCCCATGATATTTCCAGTACCCACCTGGCACCGAACACAGTTTAAAATGTGGTGTGTTTTTGTTGTGTTTGGTTTGATAGAACGTGAATCGATCCCAAAATGTTCTGTAAAGTTTATCCAAGATCAATGAAGTCAACGCACTGATTTGCAGTGAGGGTGCACCACACGGCGGTCAGGACGAGACTGATCGCATCAAAGCTACATTGCAGTCTAGCTCACCAGCATTCCCACCAGGCCATTCAGCCCGTCAGAACCCATGGCAGCGATGTTGGAACCCAGAAATCTAGTCCACTTTTTGTTTGTTTGCTGGAAACCAGCTTGTTTCAGTTTGGGGATTTGGAACGCTCGGTTTTCATGGACGAGCCACACAGTGGGAACACAGAGAACCGAACATCCCATCAGGCTCACCTGGCCACCCAGGTGGACGAGGGCTGAATTCAAATTGCATGTTGACTGTGAGTTCATTTAAGATTATAGGATTCCAATGTCTTGATTTAAACCTTGTTGTTTTCTTAAGGGTGCAGTCCACATTCAATTCCCTGAGACTCTCAAACTGGCCTCTTCATCCCTAGTCTGTGGTCTGAAATCATTAGTTACTGTAGCAGGGACAGGTTTTGAAAATCCTCTTCTCAATAATTGTGATTCTGGAAATCTCTGCGCATTTTAATTAACATGTACAACTCTATAGGGTATTGATACATGTATCTTCTTTACATCGAACATTTCATTTTTATCCTGAACCTGTTATTTCTTCATTTCTGTTGTTTTTAAAACTAAGAAATTTCTATATAACAATTCAGAAAGATCCTTTCATACATGCTTAGTTTCCTCCCAGAAACCTTTCATGGTCGGTGGAAGTGATTTTTAAAACCAATTCCCCATGGGAAAAAAAATGCTGAAAACAGATTATAGTTCATATGAAATCAACTGAGTTAGAAGGAAAATCAAATGGAATTTATAATGGGAGTTAAAACTGCATTAAAAACAAAACAAACCCTGTGTACTATTACCCAGCAACAGAAGGACCCGCTTCTTTACTCATGAATTACATTTCCTCAGGAAATGTGACTACTCTTCGTTTTGAAAAAGATACCTTTATAGTCTGAAAGTTCTCATGTTCATTAGGTAGATTAGAAAGGCTTTAGGAAAGGAAGGAAAACATGAAATGAAAAGTGTCTTATTGACCTCACTGAACATCTTCGAACACAGGGCTTGTGGGGATCCTCACACCTGTGTGATAACGTTGCCCTTTGCACGGTGACGCCTTCCGAGCTGTGTCCTGGGACTCTGCCGCTCCACGTCCACTAAGATCGTGGGAATGTGTGGTCAGATTCCCGTGAGCCACTTTGAAATCTTATCCGTTAGTGTTAATAACAGCAGTTTTCTAACAGTGCAGTTAGAAATAAATTATTTATCTTCTTAGCTCAAATTTCTTTTACTCTCCAGGGCCAACTAAATATGAAAAAAAAAAAAATCTCAATATCCCTTTAGCACTTCAAAGTAACAGACATGTAAAGAAAAGATCAGTTTAGTGTCTACTGAACTTGTCGGTTATATTACAGAGACACTGTGTGTTTGTCTGCTAAAAGGTTTACATTACAGCCCTGGTTGGTGTGGCTCAGCAGTTAGAGCGTGGCCCATGGACCGAAGGGTTGCGGGTTGGATTCCTGGTCAAGGGCACGTACCTGGGTTGCAGGTTCGATCTCCAGCCACAGATGGGGTCATGCAGGAGGCAACCAATTGGTGTGCCTCTTTCATATTGATGTTTCTCTCTCTCTCCCATTGATATTTCTCTCTCTCTCCCCGTCCCTTCCTTCCTTCCACTCTATCTAAAAAATCAATGGATTGCGCCAGAGGAGCACTGGCGCACTGACCAAAGAGTCACGGGTTCAATTCCAGTCAAAGACATATACCACGGATGTGGTTCAGTCCCTGGCCCTGGTCAGGGTCGTGTAGGAGGCAACCAGTCAATGTGTCTCTCTCACATGGATGTCTCTCTCTCTCTTCCTCTCTCTCTTCCTCCCTCTTATTCTATCTGAAGATAAATGAAAAAATATTCTTCGGTGAGGATTGGAAAAAAAAAGGGTTACATTACAGATGCTCTTAAAAATCCTTTTCTTTAACTTTATTCTTATATATGTATAGGAATGTGTGTGTGTGTGTGTGTGCTTATGCACTCTCCTGCCCAACAGGTTAGCCCTCCTGATGGTTACAACATACAGACTAAGAAGTCACTGAGAAATATTTTGAAATAGAAACAGAATATTGATGGTCCATTTCAGAGTTCCCCTAATCAGTGCCTTTTGTTCTGAAGTGTCAGCATTTAACAGTCCTGACTAAGAAACGCTGACCTATGGAGGAAGCTCTCTGAAGGTGTGCAAGCAGCAAGGAGACAGGTCCACATTCTGGGCTTGAGCACAGAAGCATCCGGTACACCACGATCCATTTCACTGGAGTGGATCTGATTAGGAGAAGAATCTCATCCACTGACTTGCAGGAGAGTTCCCTGTGGCCTCGCGGTGTGCACTCCCGGGACACACGGGTGCTGGCGAGGGCGCGTGCACTCCCGGGACACACGGGTGCTGGCGAGGGCGCGTGCACTCCCAGGACACAGGGTGCTGGCGAGGGCGCGTGCACTCCCGGGACACAGGGTGCTGGCGAGGGCGCGTGCACTCCTGGGACACAGGGTGCTGGCGAGGGCGGGAAGGTGCCACCAGCTGCTTGTGTGTGGATTGCTTTCATTTGTTTTGTTTGTTTGAGGCAATCTCAGATTCTTGCACACACAGAACCATTTTGGTTCAGAAAAACACCACAGTCTTTGCAGCCCACACCAGAAATAAAAGTCACATCCCTGCATTCCGAACGCATTCATTTATCCCGGATGTTTAACCTGGGAGTCGAAGCAGCTGTAGTGCAGTTTATCCATTTAAAACAATCCAGTTTTTCGTCCGTCCAGAAGTTTTCCCTGCAATTAGGAAATAAAATGTTCGTAATGTCTCACTGAATAAAGTATAACACATTAAGCATACACTTTCTAATTACTGGATTCCTCTCAATTCTCTTTAACTTGGTGGAAACGTTCCCATGTATGAAGAAATGCGATTAGGCGTGCCGTGTGTTCCCAAGCCCTGGCGTACACGGAAGAAGCAGCGGGAATCTGCAGGTGCCCAGCACCCTGCTTGGCTCACAGTCCGCGTTCACACCGCGGCGCGTCCTCCGCGGAAACGCAGCGGGCTGTGTGTGCGACTGTTTCCTTCCCGGGTCCTGCTGCCCTCGTCCTTTGAACACAGGGTGCCTGCGTGCTCCACTCCTCTGCACGCCGGTCCGTCGCACTGCAGTCTGCAGCCTCTGCACACGAGGTTGCCCTCCCACGCGGGTAGCAGGTGTGCGTGCCTAGCGGCATCCGCGTTCCTCAACTCTGCACCTCCATTCACAGGCGGACACGCCTTGAATGTAGCGGTGTGTGCATGTGTGTGTTCACGTGTCCTGACAGACAAGGACACCTGAGCTTCGTCCAGTGCACGCGGCCATCACAGCATGATGGTCCAAGGCGGCCGGCCTGGGGCCAGCGTGCTGACCGTGGGTCTCCCTCCTCCCGCAGGCACAGCCGTCAGACCCATCGCCCTGCGAGCCGTGACGGCCATTGCCCGCGCTCTGCCCGGCTTTCCCATTTTGGCCACCGGGGGGATCGACTCGGCGGAGAGCGGCCTTCAGTTCCTGCACGGCGGCGCCTCGGTGCTCCAGGTAGGCTGTGGACAGGGGGGGTGGGGGGGTGGGGGGGTGGGGGGGGCCCTGTTCGCCCCGCTGGAAGTAGGGAACCGGCCTGAGCGCCCCTGCGCTGTGGGGGACTCGGCCTCGGGTGCTTGTCAGTGCGTGCATTCGCCTCCGCTTCAGAGTGAAGGGAAACCGGGTACCCAGTTCACGCTGCTCTCGGCGGGGCACAAGTAGAGCAAATGTGGGTACATCTTGATGAGAAATGAAGCGAAGTCACGGGAAGGCCGCGCGGAATCTGCGCGCTGAGGTCCAGAGGGGGTGCCCAGCCTCTGCCGCGAAGCAGGGCCGCTGCTCCGGAGCCTTCCAAGCAGAGAGATCAGTCGTTCCGCTTCGTCTGGTGCGAAGCCGAGGGGAGCGCTCATTCCTCCGCAAGGGTCGCGCTGGGCCGAGGGGAGCGCTCATTCCTCCGCAAGGGTCGTGCTGGGCCCCGGCACGTTGTCCTCCCATCAGCCGCCCCACACAACGGAAGTTCAGTCGCTGTTACTGCTCACACACTTGCTTTTAGAATGTCGTTCAGTCGAGGCCCGTGCGGCATTTGACACGTTGTGCCCTAAGCATTGCTGTGGGGCCAGGTGTGCAGATTGGGGTGATCTGACTGGACCCCGGGATAAACGTTTTCTTTTTTAATTATTATTTATTGATTTGTGAGAGAGGTACAGAGAGAGAAACATAGATATTCTGTTGCACTTATTTCTGCATTCGTTGGCTGCTCCTTGTATGTGCCCAGACTGGGGATCGAACCTGCAACCTTGGTGTAGCGGGACGATTTTCTAACCAACTGAACTACCCAGCCAGGGCTAAAACTCTTCACATGATGACTAGGTATTGGCATCTCAGAAAGCCCTGCATTGATAGGGCCTCTTACTATCTAGCAGCGGTGGTGACTGGGAGCAGAAGCAGAGGCGGTCACACCTCCTATACTCCCTGGCAAGAAAATGGAGAGCAAACATCTGTGTTGCCAATTTGACCCTCAGAGCTGACATCCTCTTCTGAACGGAAACCATCAAGTCCAGGAAGTGGGACAATGTTTCTTACTTGTTCCGGGAAAAGCTCTATCAACCCCGAAACCTAGACACACTTCACTAAAGAGAACAAAGAGAGTCCATTGCTGGGAAACCATAACTGGAAGAACAGCTAAAGGGATCTCCTTAAAAAGGACATGATTAAAGAAGGTGACTTGGGACCTCAGGAAGGAAGACGGGACCTGGAGCAGTGCCTGTCTGGGCTTGAATATCACCAAAATGTATTGTCATGAATACCGAGAACACATGAACTGGAGGGTGCAAGGCAGATGGACAGGGCCCCAGGAAGGATGCCTGCTCATTTCCAAACAGTGGGTGAACTTGGGCAAGTCACACCCAGGGGTGAAGATTGCTGACTATGCCACATGCTCATTCTAGCTGCTGCGACGTTCAGTCTTCCCTCACCTGCCCTTTGATTGACGTCCACTGGGGCATGGAGGATGGAAGCCGTGTGCCCAGGTCACATGACTAGCGCTAGACCCCGAACTCAGACCCAGAATTTCCCAGCCACGAAGCCAGTGCTCGCCCAGCGGGACACACTGCCTGCCCCTCCCAGAACCTCGGAGGCAGAAGGGTTGGCTACAGACGGGTGTGTTCCCTCCTACTCCAGGCTTACATGTTTAGTCTACAGTTTAAGTAAGGATTCGAAGAAGAGAAGAAATGTGAAAACAGAGAAATAAATCAACATGATGTATTCTGAGCACAGTTGTGCGCTCAGTGTGTGGACCACGACATACAAACACGTGTCCTCATAAAGCGTGCAGGGCAGTGATCACACAGACTGCAGTGCACGCCCAGGCTCGCCTTGGGTCGAGAAGCAGAGAACCACTCAGCTACCGGAGGGAAGTGAGGTGCATTTGTCATATCTGTACACACATGGAAACAAGAATGGCAAGGCTGATGGGAAGTTCTGCTTCTGGAGGGGGCCTTGTCTCCCTTTTGTGGGCCATGTAATTTCTCCCTCCAGGGAATCTGTATCTCTGTCCACTCTTTCTTTCCCCAAAGATCACCCCTTGTTCTTGCCTCCTCTGAACTTCTGCCTGCCGCCTGACCGTGGTCCAGCCCCATGGCAGTCTCTCGGCTCCCACTTCTACCTGAAATGCCTCCCTAGCTCAGCAAGCTCGGATCTCACAAAGAGGAACCCTGTTTGCCTCCACTTATCTCTTCATGCAAGATCCCATGATGAAACACGCTCACCCAGTGTACCCACTGCTTGGTGTGCAGCAGAAACACACAAAACATTTGTTGAGTGAATTTGTCAAATGAATGTGCTTGAGTTGTCATTGTTTTCGCAGATTGAAAGGGGTTAACAGGCCATGACCGGTGGTTGCACAGCCTGCCCCTTCAGCTCTGGCCAAGCCCGGCCCAGACTTTCCAGTGCTGTAAATATCAGCTCCCACAAGTTTGTTAAAAACAGAGAGTTCCAGACATAGGCTCTAACTGGTACAAAAATCACAGACTATGTATGAATTCTACTATTAGCTTGAGTCAGATTTTCATTCAGCCAGAATATATTTTAAACCAATTTTAGCTAGAATGTGAATTTAAATCAGTATTAAGATATACTTAGGACGGTTACAAGTGGGAAGACCTTTGAATTAGGAATTTTGGCCTGGCCTTTGAGTGAGATGGAGAATGTATAATATCTCCATCTCTCTTGCATTATAACTGAATTTTACTTTGTTCCACTCCCTGGTCCTGGGTTAATGTAACCTTTCATTTCTGTTCTTCTGGACTCTGAATATTATTAGAGAAATTCAAGTAACCCTGCCAACTGCGCTTACTCCAGATTCACTGTGCGATGTCAGCAGGGCCTTGGGTGCTAGTCAGCATTCGTTTGTATTCATCTTTTCAAAAAATGTTCCATCAGATTTCCTCTAGCAGTTAGTTCAGGGCTTCATGCTCCTCATGGCTCTGAATCTCTCCGTCCCACCGTCCTGTTCCTTCAGTTCCATCTGTTCACAGGCGCTCAGAGCCCAGTTGCACCCCGTCTCTGGTTCTATAATATTTCTCTTGATCAGCTCATTCACTCATATATCTGCAGGTAGAATACTCTCAAATCTTCCTTTCTACTTATTTTTACTCAGAAGAGAAGTATGTACTGACAGATTACATTTTCTATAAGACATGATGAGACAAAAATGTGTTTCGTACCAGGGTGAGGGGGCCGAGTCACTAGGAGGCAGAGAGAAAAAGGCATAGAGAGATAGTGATAGGAATAAATATTTTGATTCTGATTTTTCTTGATACATGAACTATGTAAACAGGTGAGTTCACTACTGAAATAAGGATTTATACTCAAAGTAATTTCAAATTCAGTTTTAAATGAATTTAATAACCACAGGGTTCTATGTGACTTTAGTGAAAGTACTGACATTTCCAAAATGGAAAGCTAAAATGTTTTTCATACGTTGGATAATAACATGTCTTTCTTGTTAATTAGTATGTGTCACAGAGAACCATTCATTCATTTATTCATTTAATAAATATTGATTAAGAATCTCCTACCTGCCTAGCACTGTTCTAGGAACTTGGAATTCTTCTGTGAATAGAATAGACAGAAATCCATTACCTTATGGTGCTTACATTCTAGTGAGAGGAGAGATATAATATAACTAAATAGGAAACGTATGTATATGAGCTGATATGTAAAATGATAAGAGCTGTGAAAAAAAAAAAAAGGTATAAAAAACTGAAGTTAGTGAATTGTGAATTTTTATTGTCCTAAAATACTTAGGTTACAACATCACCTGCAATATTTTTTTTTTTTTTTGGTTTTTTTGCTTATTGAGAGTTAAACCAATGTACAAAAATCATAAAATATTGTAGAGTACCTTGTGGTTAATAAAAAGAAACACCTTTTAGGGTATCACTTGCATTTTAATGGGCAAGTTTTTTGTTTTTGGATTCTTGATACCATTTCTAGGAATGTGGCATTTCTCAGTGGTCCTATTTATTTCTCATATCTTATTTTATATCTTGCTTTGACAAGGATGCTAACATTTAATAGTAAAATATACAGTAACTCTAACCTTAAAATGCTTTGGTGAATGTTGAATATAAAAGCTAAGGGGGTAGCTAGAGAGAAATTTGAGTATTCCAAAGCATGTTTCTAGCTCAACTTTGGAGTGAAAATAGCTCTTACTGCCCTGGCTGGTTTTGCTCAGTGGTTAGAGCGTCAGCCTGCGGACCAAAGAGTCATGGGTTCGATTCCGTGGACAAGGGCACGTACCTTGGTTGCAGTTTGTTCCTGACCCCTCTGGGGCCATGCAGGTGGCAACCAATCAATGTGTCTCTCTCACATCAATGCTTCTCTCTCCCTCCCACTTTGTCTGGAGATAAATGTAAAAATATCCTTGGGTGAGGATTAAAAAAAGAAAATAGCTATTACCACAGAACCAGAGGCAACACTGGCCAAGAAATAAGGTTCAGAACTGGTTGTGGGTTTGTGTTTTTGGGTAGCTGCTCTTATAACTTGGTCAGTCAACTCAACTGACTTCTGATTTATTTAAGTGAACCCAGTGACTTTGAAATGTGATTTCTCATCTTCCTTGGTAGGCTCTCATTGGTTAGAATATGCAAGTTGTGAAAAATTATTAGTAAATTTCAGATACTGAAATATGTAAATACCTCATTGTTAAATTATATTCTCAAACTCTTGAGGCATTAAAATCTTTTGGGGGCCACTCTGAAGAAAAGAAGTTTGCTTCTGGCTGCCAAGTCATTATTTATGAAGAGGACTATCAATAAACAACTTGAATGATTGCCCTTTAAAAAAAAAATCTCACCCAAGTATATGTTTGTTAATTTTAGAGAGAGGGGGAGGGAGAGAGTGAGACCTGTTGCCTCCTGTTGCACAGCCCACCTGGGGATCAGTCAAACCTGCAACCCAGGTGGGACCCCTATCTGGGAATCGAACCTCCAGTGTATGGGATGACACTCCAACCA